TGACAACCACTCTCTGCACCCTGCCATCGAGCCAATTCCTAATCCACCTCCCCGTCCACACATCTATCCCACACCTTTGGAGCTTGCCCAGGAGGATGCTGTGAGGGACAGTGTCAAAAGCCTTGCTCAAATCCAGATAGATGACATCCACCGCTCTGCCCTCATCTATCCAGCTAGATATTCCTTTATAGAAGGTGATCAGGTTAGTCAAGCAGGATTTCCCCTTGGTAAATCCATGCTGGCTACTCCTGAGCACCTTCTTCTGCTCCATGTGTCTGGAGAGAGCAGTACTACATCAATGTGGTTATCCTGCTATTCGACTTGAGCTGCTCATTGCCCGTGCCAAGCTTTCATCTTGTTTCCATTCCTGGGATTACTACAGTCAGCCTGCCTTCATCCTCACCACAGCTCTAGTGTCAGCCTTTTTCCTCACACTGCATTTCACTGTAAAGGAAAAACCTACTTCTGAACTAACAGCATAGGAAATCTTCCTATCCARGTACAGAGACCATTGCATTTACATATATAAATATAAAATGGCCAGGAAAAACTGCTTCATCAAATAAAATCAATAATACTAGAGACAGTGTGGGAGAGCAATACTATCTCAGATTATTCTGTTATAATTTTAATATTAAAGATTTCTAATGAGTTTAATATCTGCAACTATTTGCAGCAGTGTTTATTGCACTTATTGAACAGCTAAGAAAAGCATATATCAAACAGATATAATAATTATCAGCTAATATTTTAGACTGTTTCTTTCAGTGTATTTAATCCCACACAGTACTACTTAGTAGCTTATTCTAAGATTAATAAATTACTGAGACAAAGATAAAGTGTGGTTAGCAGTGAAATGAAATCTCTTGGGGAAATATGTGATTTGTGGTAAAGAATGAGAAAGCGAAAAAAACAAACCCCAAAACAACTCAGCTGAATATATTTCTTCCAATTCTAGTCTCACTTCACTTATGTAAATATATTGACTCATCTGGGAATACTCCCAATTCACAGTGATGTAAGCAAGACTAGAATCAAGCTTGATTAGTCTAGCAGACTTTGATAAATTGAAAGCACTAAATCTGTCCTGAAGAAGGAACAAGGTTAGAAGAAAGTCAGACCTTGCATGCTTGTTTGCGTACTCTGTCTAGAGTGGGTATTACTATCCTAACCCAAAGTATATGGAGAAACTGATTTTGTAGGAATGGCTGTATAAAATGCAAAGCAGCTGCAACGGGGGCATCCTATCTCAGTTGCYGCTAACTTTCACCCTGATCTTGTTTTTCTGTTTGCACTGGAGTTGTTCTGTATTACACCAGCATGAGGGTGATCAAGTCCTACTGCCAGGCCAACTGAGGCTTTTCTCATTCTCTCTGTGCTCCAAAGGAACTGCTGCCATTTGAAGAATATCTTTGCATATTTTTCCATATTAAAAAAGCTGGGAAAAAATGATAAATTATTTTTGGAAACAAGCTCTCAACCAAATTATGTTCCTGGTGCTATTAGAAGAGAATTATTCAAGTACAGAAGGATATCATAGCTTACATGGCTGAAGAATCATGTCAGTATTCAAATGTATCCAAGATAAAAATGAACAGTTTGAATTTATAAGATGACCCATGGAAATCTCATATACATAGTTCTGTGAATTTGTGGTGGGAACACTATGGCTTCTATCAGAGGAATTTGGCTGACCTAAAACAGATGTTTTCCAAATGACAACTAGAACAAAAAATAAGCTAATTAATGTACTCTGTTTCAGGAATAATAATTTAATAGTCATTATAATTCTTGGCTGTTCAGGGAACCATATCAACTATGACTGTTTTATTTTTTTCCTTAATTCTTTTCTTTTAGCTTTCCTTTTGTTTTTCTTATTATAATCATAACAACTCAGTTCAATACTGTTTCTCTTTTTATTCCTCATACACCTTTATTTCTCTAGATGGAAGAAATACCACCTAGAGACCAACCTTTCTTCTTTTGCTTCTCACCTTCTTTTCCTTTAATTTCTCTTCCTCCTTCTGAATAGGAACGTAAATAATAATACTTGCCACCTCTATTGCAGTTTGCACATTCCTGGCACTGCAGAGACATTACAAATTGAGAAAGAACTTGTGAAAGTCTTCTGATTCAGCACTATCTATCACAGAGGAAACAGGATGAGAGCTCCATTTCTCTCCCCTCAGTTGCTAGAGCCGTAAAGCCTTTCCCAGAATGGTCCCACCTTATCCCAGTCTGATAAATGGTTGCTGACAGTCAGAGATGTACTTCAGCAGCAATGGAGAGCCCCTGTTGTCAGTGATAAATAGAGGAATTTGGAGTAGTGCACAATCTCTGCTCCAACTTCCTTCCTGTAGGAAAGCTATATTCATAAGGAGGAAAGAGGTTAAGTACAGGTTACCATATTTTGTGAAGCAGAGGCAGTAGAAAAAGAATATAAGCTAAGAAAGCACTAGCGAAATGTATGGGGAGGTATTGTATACCTGTGGGGTGGGTGGAAAGAAGCTCTTTCCATTTTCTTTTTGGATTCACTTTAGTTGCAAAAAGATTTTTTTGCTATTTGTGCTCTTTCCAAAATAAGACTCAGAGACAACAATTTCAAAATTTGAGCACAATTGTTATAAAATGAATGGGCTGCCCTGCTCTGCCTTTTCTGTTCCCTTCTATAGAAACTCCTGGTTAGGTCCTCCCTGAGTGTGTCTTGCCATACGTCAGGTATTCAGAGCCTTCCTACTAAACACACCATAAAAATCTGCCCTTTGGTCTCACTCCAAGGAATGTGTGAGCTTGTACTTCTGCTGGAAGTAACACGCTTCAACTATATTATATCTACCTTACTTTTAAGCTTTATATATAGACTTTAAAGCAAGAAGAGTTCTTCCTGCATAATTTCAGGACAAATGGCAACAAATGACCCATTTTCTGTATGTTCTGAAACTCCACATGCATCATCCTAGGTATTTACTGGTTAAAAAAGCAATTTCTTCAGATTTATAACCCATCCTACCATCAGCAACGTTGCTCCAAGGGCCAGACAGAAAACTATAGGTCCAGTGAGGTCTGTCTCATTCATAATGCTGCCATCTGCAGGCTTCATTGGGTTGAGCACAGTTAATGTCTTTTGCCATATGTGATCAAAATTGATCCCAAGTTCTGCAACAGTAAATTTCAGCACTGTTAATTGCTTACAAGAAAACAACATTTTTACAGAAACTCATTACATACCATAAAAAAAAAGCCATCCTGTCCTCTAATGAACATCATGCAAATTGTACTGTGGGAGGATATATTCTGTAGAAGGAATATGTTGCACCTCTTCATGCAGTRCACATAAGACTCAGTTTTAGAAAATGAACTAGAAATGCTCTCTACTTTTTGGCCTTAGTATTTGCTCTTCCTATATTTAAGACATTTAAAAGATATGTCTTAAGGCTGAATTGCCAGAAGCACTTAAAAATGACATTCTTTCACTCTAGGCAAATGGGTAATATTTTTTGCAATGCTTTACAAGCTTTTTAATTTGAAAAATAATTTCTGAGAGCCACTGGAGACAGGACAAAATTCTTCCCCATTAAAATCAACAGGAATTTTGAAATTGTATTCAGTGTGGCAAAGATTTCTGTTACAACTTCTATGGAAAGGTTTAAGTTTGCAAGAGCAATGATTTTCCTTGTGATGTACCAGCAAGCAAAACTTGGACATCAGAATTACTAAGATTGACAACGCGTTAGATCCATTTGGAAAGGAAACAACCAATCTTTACCTTATTCCAGCTCATCTGTAAGCGTAATCTCAGCCAAAACATTATATAAATAAAGTTGTTCTGTATTAAAATGTATAAAGACATGAACACCTCTGACACCTTGTGGATCAGAAGCAGTTTTATTTTGACAGCCTTTTTGCAGGGCGAGCTGCCTATGGAGCTCAGTGCCTGGACTGAGAGCTAGCAATCTAACAGCTGATCTACGTGCAGATCTGGTCTTGCTGGTTTTAAGGTAGCATTGGTATCTTCCAAGCAGCAAAAAATCCACTTGCCCTCCAGTATTCAAAAAGAGGCTGAATCTGCCCCTACTATATTATGTTGAAGTAGTTGCAATCAAGATGCATGATTTTTTAAACTGCACCAATATTTGCATTTGAAGTGAGCACTTTTTTACAAATTAGCCACTAGCTTTAGCATGGTCCACATGCACTTAAGAAAGAATAATATTGTGCGTATAGTTAAATGATCAAAAACTAAAGTATGCAACTTTCTCTTTTTTTTTCATTGAAACAAAGCCATTTTCAAACTTTTCAAAAGCCAACATCTTCAAATTACTAAATTTATTACTAGATATGCAAATGGAATTACAGTAAGAGTTTATTGATTATAGGTGTTCTAATATATTTTATTATGCTGTATAAAGAGGGAAAAAAATACTCAAAAATCATGCAGGCAAAACTTATTGTTATGCTGTCATCTAGTGGCACTAAAGTGCATGCCAGGAATGCCATAAGAATGAAGGAATAAAGGCATTTTCCATTCAGATTTCCATGCAAACAAGCACTTGCACCCACCAACGGTCAGTGGGCTTGATTTTACCTTCCAGCAATGGAGGTTCGTCATCAAAACTGTCACCATAACCAATGTACGAGAGAGTGTTGGGACTGTATGTGGGCTGCAAAATCTGGCCCGTATAATAACTCTGTGAAGATAAATGCATTTCTGAAGGGATGAAGGTATCAGCTTGTGGTTGGTCTCGTAGAGGGCTCCTGCAAGAGAAAGTGAATCACCAGTAAAAGGGGTAATAGCAGGAAGCAGCCTTGCAGCAGCTGAAAGTTTAAATTTTCTACTTCTACTAAATTTTCAAATTGTAAGACCTGAAAATTTCCCAGCTGCTGACCACAGGTTTGCTTTCTTTGGCTGTTTATCACAAACTCCTCCAAAATCCCATCAGATTTATACAAAACTGAACTTTTCTTGAATCTAACAAGGAGCGCAGAGAACTAGCAGCATTTGGGGGGAAACAAAACCAGCAGTAATAATGTGAAGCTCACTCCTGCAAACTAGGCAAATGGCATGTAACATAGGCACTTATAAACAAGTTTGAACCTGCATTCAACTAGAATTCGAAGAAAAATTTTTGGTCTCCAGCAGCTCTTGTCCCCTCCCTTGCAAAGCCAGTAGGAGGAATTAGGTGCTGCCTGGATGGGGCAGCAGGATGGGGAAGGTACAGCCAAATTCAATCTCATACAGCACAATTTGTGTAGAAATCTCCTTAAGGTGAAACTCCCAAAACTTCCTTCCCTTTATACCCTTTCCAGTGGGCAGGATATGTAATGGGTAGAAGTCAAAAATAGAAAAACATGAAAAAGGAAATCAGATTGTAAAGCTCCTACTGTTTTTCTACTGCTAATGGCCCTTATAACTTCACCTACATTGAATATTCTTTTATTCTTTTTTTTTTTTGGCAATTACAGGCTGCTAGTTTTTTTTTTTTTTTTTGTCATTCACTTGATTAATGTTTTGAAATCTACCACTTTTTTTTTTTTAATCTAGCATACTTACTTTTCACTTCCATAAAGATTTTCATTAGACCCGTAAATGCTGTAACCTTCTTCTTGATTATCTATAGTGTAATTGGACTGGTAAAAGTCTGAATAAAATTGCTCGAAATTTGACATTCTGGTGAGAAAAGAGATTTAAAACATTAATTAAAATAACCTTTCAAGTTCTATGACATTATTTTCTTATTTGATGACCAATCTGGCATGATTTCCCAATTTAGAAAAATGTTTATATATTGTAAGTATGAATTTATACAAAATAATTGTATTAAATGATGTAATATGATTTTATATGAGATTTCACAGCAATTATATATTTAATAAATTTTATGTGGAATAAATCTAAGCAAATTTTAACTGGTGCCTCTTCCAGTCCCAGTCTGGAATGTCTTTAATGTTCTTTGCTATCACTATAAATAATGAAATAATTACTTAATCTTTCACTTTATCTGGTATGCTGAAATCTATGTGCTACAGTTCAGAAAACATTAGGTTATTTTCAAAAAAATGAAGTTAAGGTGACTTACTTTTTAATGTATTCAATGAAAAGTCCTTTCTGCTGAGTTTATATGCTGGAAAACACCTAAAATATCCTCTTGCTTTAACAGGGATGAGCTTAGTGCTATTTATAAGTTTCTAAATTTGATCTCTGAACAGATGCATATGAAGGAAAACAAAACAACCACTGTCAGTATCATGGACAACATTTAACAACACAAATGCTCTTCTATATAATTAATGTTCATGTTAATCACGACTGCAGTTCAGAACTTGTGCCTTTAGTGTGTATTTACATACATTTATTTGGAGGTCTGTTAGCAGGAGATATTCCTGCAGTAGATGCTCCTGTAGAAGGTCCTGGGGACTGCACTCAGCTTTTTTTTATGCAATATCCAGCTCCTGATATCCCTTCCATTACATGACCTTCTATAAAAAATCATATTAGAAACCTTTTTTTGCAGCCTTGATTACTATAAAATTTGTAATAGGGTATGAATTTTCAAGCAGTGATTTAAACCTCAAAGGCAGCCTTCTATTTAGTTCAGTATTGGTTCCTTCACCTCTTAAAACAAGTGCTGACTTTTCCAGTTATTTATTGGATAGTTTCCCAATAAGCACTTGGGGTGGTTAATTTAGAGAATGGGACATTAAATGGAATGTGTCATCGGGCTATTAATCTATGCCTCAGGTGCATATTAAAGTCTGTGAGGTGCAAGGCCAAATGACCTCCATTCCATTAGGCGAATAATCACGCCCTGTTAATGTCCTAGATTTCTTTGAAAAAAAAGTTAAAATATACGCGCATTTTTAAAAATGAAAAATGAAGTACGTTACGTTTGCACAACATATACACGTCCAAATAAGACTGTAGAACTGAGGGATGAGTAGAGTTTAAAAATACAATATCTGTTTCAGCTAATTAAGGGTAATTTACCTATGATATTTCTTAGGCCTATCATTAAGGCTACTTCTTGTGCTATTAAACTTCTCTCCCACTACTTCCAGAATAATAAGCTATATCACTGCACCCACGGAGGTGAATTTTCAGTTTCAGTTCTTAGCAAAGAGCTARCATCAATACCATCTAATCATTTAAGTTTAGGTAATATTGTGGTTTTGCACAATCACCAGAGGAAGAACGTGTCTGTTACGATATACAGGACTAAGTTCTATCCTTTAGGTAGGTAACTAAAAATATATATACTTTAGGGATAGAGACAACCTAATTTGCGAGTGTTATATCTGTTTAGGTTCAAAATGACTTAACTACTTTTGCTGCTTTCAGTTAGAAAAAAAAATTCTAATAAAATTACCTAAAAATAAAATTTTCTAATTAAACTATCTAAAATATCTTTACTAATAAATATTTAAAATATATACTTATATATTTTAATAGAAATTTATATATAAGCTTGTATATATATATATATGTATAATGTATACTTCACACTAAATGCCAGATAAGAAGAGAAAATAATTATCTTACAAAAAACTTCTAGGAATAAAATAAAATAAAATAAAATAAAATAAAATAAAATAAAATAAAATAAAATAAAATAAAATAAAATAAAATAAAATAAAAGGTGATGTGGAATTATTGAAAAAAATTACTTTTTTAGTTGTTCAATACATCATAGCTGCAGAAGAAAGCTTCATATCAGTTAAAAAGATCTTTTTTTGAAAAATGAAAGCAAAATTCAAATATATTAACATATATGTATACACATATATAAACTAAAATAAACATTATATATGTGTATTACACGGATATCCCTGTGTATATAGAAATAAAAATACATATCATAAAAGGGAAAGTGATATTAATTAGAAATGATGATGCAGATAATTAACAAAAGGATATAGGTGAAGTATATGATAGAACAGAAAGAAATAATTTCTAAATATAGTAGGAACATGTTGAATCATGAAGTGYAGAAACACTACTGGTCTTCTACTAGACAGAAAAGGTCAAGTGACTGTAAAACAAAAAGTCAGAAATGTTCAATTAGAAATGTCAGATGAAATGATGATAAAATATTTTCTGTGCAACAGCAATGTAAAGAGCTTGTAAAACTTATTCCAGGCATTTAAAAAAATTTACATTGAAGAGTTTTAAAAGGACTGATCAAAGRCTTTCTACACAGATGGACTGCAAAATAACGGAAAAGTTTAAGAAGATCAAAAGAAAGCAAGTATGCCATATTGTAAAATGCTAAATGAGATCACCTGAGTAAATAGTGGCCCATTAGCATGAGGTTAAACCAAGCAAATTACAGCCTCAAACAATAAATAATTGAATTGATGGAGACAATCAACATGAATTTATGGTAACTAGACTACTTCAAGCTAATTTGATTTTTGAGCTTTCTAGTTGAGAAAGATAACCACTGATATAATTATGTCTATATTTAACACAAAGCATATTACTTGACTTTGCTTCAGTATATACAAAACTTCGACTATTTAATGCAACAGTCATTATACTGATTAAATAATTGCTATCTGATTTGTCTCAGATATAGCTGTAAAAGAGGTGGGATATTTCTAGGGATGCCTTGCAGGACAAAAGCCTTACCAACCTAATCAAACAGAAAATTTGGGTCAAAAGCTACTAATCAAAGACTTAGTTACAGAGTAATTTGATCAGAATCTATTAGGACAAAACAGAAAGCAAATAATAAAAAATCTTAAATTTACCAAAAAAAAGTCAAAAAGCTTTAAAATTTTCAGTGACTATTAATCACCAAAACAATTTAGCACTGTTTCTGGAGATTTTCCTGCAAAAGATTTTCATATTCCAGGTGTGAAAATAATTCAATGACACTCCATGACCTATGTTTATCCAGAATTATAACCAAGATCACACAGATCTTTTCTACCCTTAAAGTATATGAATAAGAAATTAATTTATTGAGAGGCTGGCCTGAAGGCTAAACAAACCATTCTTASATGAAAAATATAACGCCCAAAAGGATCTGAGAGGGGCAAAGAAAAATAGATATGTCCATTTACCAATAAAGTAACTACATTAAATATRAAACCTTGACGACAAAAGGATGTTTGGTATGAATAAAAGCACACAGGTGATATACATTGGTACAAACCAGCAGCCTGATCAAAGGGACTTCAGAGGTGAGCATTCCTTTGCCCTCCTGACAACTCAGTTATTCATTGACATGGCACACAAGAGAAGGTTGTCACATGTATTAACATGAGGAAAAAATAAGTTGTTGCAACTCAAGGCTTTATACTAGAATGCTAATGAAACGTCATTTTCTTTGATTGACAGGTACACAAAATGTTAATAATCTAGGGAAGGATTCGTTTGGAGAAAGACTAATTATCTCAAACAAAATAGAATTGAAGTTGATTAAAGATAAGTGTAGTTTATGAAAAACGTGAGATTTTTCTATAAAAAGTCGGATTTTTTTTCTAAGTGGAGGTGGTAAGACTTTCTTTCTCTACTTTTTCTTCATATTCCTAATTTCCTAAATTTCCCTATGTTTTCTTTCATAATTTCCCATCATTTAAAAAAAGAAAAGAAAATAAAATAGACAAAGCAGTAGAAAAAAAAGAAATAATGTTATCAAAAACTGTCATTTTTCACTTTTTTTGACAAAATAATGGTAATTATTAAAATATTTTAATGTATTTTCATTTGCAATGAAGCATTTTTATTAAACTAGATCCAAAGAAATAAGATATTAAAGGCCATAGAATTCTGTCTAGAGAATCGGATATATAGCCCTGTATTTCGTATTCAAAGCTAACTGAGGACCGTTGCAAATCCATTAAAATAGTTAGTCAATTATTCTATAGTTTTTCAAATGCATCAATTAATCACATTAAGGATTAATTCAGTAAGCCTTAAGCTTAATTACATGCATTTATAGAACCCTATTAATTTTATAAGTGAGTCATTATTAAAATATGTTGCCAAAGAGAAGAGGAAAAATTAATTGCAAAGAAATAAATCATTTACTGCTTCTACTTTTTTTTATGGAATGAATTATTTACTATATAAAGTGTCTAACAATGGATTAAATGTATAGAGGCCTCACACACATAACAGTAATTATTTCCCATTAAAGGTTTTTGGGGATGGCTAAGAGGCCATTAAAACAAAGCAAAGCAAAGCAAAACAAAATACAAACCCAGAAAATCCAAAACTAGTAGTGTTTTCCTTTTTTATATATATTGTTTATTAGATTTGAACAAATATCAATATTCTGTAGCAGTCAAAAACACAAATMCAGCGCTAGGAATTCTTAGGAAAGGGAAAAAAAAAGAATAAAGTAGAGAACATACTATCATGTACTACCTTGATTTGATCACAGCTTTAATAATGTGTGTAGTTCCAGGTCCCTCATCTCAGAAAGAAGTAGTAGAATGGCAGAATGCTGAAGAAAGCCAAAAAGGAATAAATGGAACAGGCTAAAGTAAAATATGCATTTATCCTYCAAGAGAACTCAAATTTGAAATTCAAAATACAAATTTTCCTCAGTCTTGATTGATGAAAAAGAAGGGAGAACTGTTGAATCTTAATGTATATTGACCTGAATTGTAGGACAATTTTATTTCTTGTCCGTGCATTAATAGAACCCATATATCCAGAT